CGGGCGGGCAAGCAAGCGGGGAGCGGCGGGCGGGCGGGGCGGAGCGGGCGGGCAGGGTCTTGAGCACTGGATAGGGTCGGTTCCGCATGGTACGGGACCCCTCGATCACCACCGCGTGTCGTGTCATGAAGCATGATAGATAACCACCCCGCCGTCGTGCTCCGCCTGCTGCGGGCGGGCGCAGACGCGGCGGTGCGCACCAATAAGGGCGAGACGGCGCTGCAGGTTGCCAAGGAGAAGGGCCACGCCGAGTGCGTGCGTATCCTCGAGGAGCATGCGGCGGCGGAGGCGGAGGCGGAGGCAGCGGCGAGGGAGGCGGTGAGAGCGGCGGCGGAGGCGGAGGCGGCGCGGCATGCCGAGGCGCTGCTGGCGGAGGAGGAGGCGGAGAAGGAGGCGGGGGAGCGCGCCAAGGAGAGCAAGAAGGGCAAGAAGAAGAAGAAGAAGGGGAAGGGCGGCGTGGGCGGCGCTGGGCCGTCGCGGGAGCCCGAGGATGAGGCAGCGCTGGCGACGGGAGAGGAGGCGGAGTTGGCGGCGGCGCTAGAGGAGAGCGCGAGGCTGGAGGAGGAGAGGAGGCGGGCGGCGGAGGAGCAAGGGTCGTCCTCTTTGGCTGCAGAGTCGCCGGCTCCGAGGGAGGAGGAGCCGCCGGCCGACTTCATCTGCCCGATCACGACCGAGCTCATGAGCGACCCGTACCACCGTGCCGCCCGTCGTTAGCATGGCCGTCGTTACTTTCGCCGCCGCCTCTGCTGCTTGTCGGCGGAGCGCCTCGCGCCTTCCCTCGTCTCCATGCTCCTGGTCTTGTTCTTTTTGTTTTCCTGCGCTTCCTGTCGCTGGTCCGGCGACGTATCTTGCCGTCTGCCTTCGCTTCCTGGCGGGCCGCGTTTCCTTCCCCTCGTCCCGTCTGTTTTCTCCTGCGTGGTCGCCCTCGCGTGCGCCGCTCGCCGTCTGTTCTCCTCTCTGCTCGCCGTCCTTGTCCCCTCGCTGTCGTCGCTTCCCTCCGGCGCTCGCCGCATCGTCGTTCCTATCACCGCGTTTCCTGCGCCGGCCTTCGCCTCCGAGCTCGCAGTGGGTCGTTTTGAGTGTCATCCCCATCGCTCTCGTCGTTCTGCCTCTCCCCGCTTCGAGGCGTCTCTCTGCCTCTTCCCTTTCTTTCTCCTCGGCATCACGTTGTCGATGTCGCCTCCGTCGCCAGCAAATACACGCATTCGCCGCCCACTCCATTTCTCGTATCCTCTCCTTCCTTTCCTTCTGTCCCTCTCTCAGGCGTTCTGTTTCCGCGGCTACTCGTTCCTTCCTCTCCGCCTCGAGTCCCTTCCTCTTCCCTTCCCGTACTTTGATTATTGATGCCGCCGTCTGCTGCAGTGCCTTGAGTGAAGTCACCACCCGTGTGTCATACTCCCTCATGATGTCTTCTGGCGGGTCCTGGTCCATCACACTCGGCTCGGGTAGTCGTCCAGCTAGCAGTTGCTCCATCGCCTCCCATTCCTCGTCGCTCTCCCTTCTCCCCGCGCATCTCTTCGTCGCCCCAGCGATGGCGCGTACAGCGAGCGCCTGGGCTTCGCACTCTGCGGTGTGGGCGAGTGTCCGCCTCCTTGACTTCGGCGGCGTCCATCGTAGCGCCTTGAGCACGTCCGCCGCGCCTTTCCTCATCGCCCGGTGGTGCTCCCTCCTCTCCCCCTTCACCGCCTCGCACTCGGCGCATAGGACGTGCCTAGTGTTAGCTATTGTCCTGCAACATCCAGGATGCCAGCAACCTTCAGCCCCATCGGCACATGCTCCTCCTCCCTCCTCGTCCCACCCGTCCTGCCACGCCTCTGCCTCCAGGCTGGCCCTCCATCGCCTCCCGTGCTCTATACCTCGGGTCTGTCCCGTCCGCATGCCGTGTACCAGCCTTAGCCTCGCCTTCTCCCCGCAGGCCTCGGGCTGGCGCTGGGTCGATTTTGGACCCCGTTCTCTGTCTCCCTCGTATCTCGTGTCGCCTGATATCGTCCCCGTCGCCTTGATTACCGTCCTCCACACGTTGTCGTCTCCTCTCTTTCGCGCTGCGTGCCCGCCGTCCAGCCGCTTTCGTACCCACCGCCCAATTTTCTCCTTCGCTTCTTGATACAGCCTCCTGTCTCGGATCTCCGGCGCCTGCCCCTCCTCCTCATGCATGTAGATGCATGCCCTGTTCGTCACGTGTCGTGCTAGGTCCATCTCGTACGCGCTCGTTACCCTGCTCCGCAGGTGTGCCTTTGCCGCCGCGTCCGCCATGGAATTGGGCGCGTTGCCCGCATGCCCCTCCGTGAAGATGAAAATCACGTACCCTCCGTGGCGCTGTATAATGTCGATTTGTGCTTGCACCGCCGCATTGAGTGCGCTCCTATTTGTCTCGCCGCGTGTCCGCCCCCGATACGCCCGTTCGATCTCCTTGAGCGCCGTCTCGCTGTCCGACATTACTAGGCATCGGTGAGGCTGGAGGGTCGTTTCTGTTTCGTCCGCCTTCGTGCGCAGGAAGCTGTAAATGGCGTACATCTCGGCGTCGACAATCTCCCACGATCCCGGCAGGGCGCCTCCCCATATTCCCCGTCCTATTCGCTCGTGAATCTGTGCCCTGGTCTCTTGTGTATCGTCATCTCCCTCTTTCGGCTGCACGCCCTCCCATCCCCCGAATGATGCTAGCCTTCCGTCTCGAGTCTCCTTCAGCGAGGCGTCCGTCGCTGCCGCCGCTGTGAAGTGGTGCCACTTGTGCAGGCGGCACGCCAGGTCCCTCGCCCTCCACGTCGTGCTCGTTCCCCGCTCTCGCATGATCCGACACTCGCTTTCGTCCATCACGATCTCGTTCTCGCCCTCTCGGTCGTGTAGTCGCTCTTGCGGCGCGCTCCGGATTGCGCCCTCCGCCTCGTCGCTCCTCAGATACAGTCGTAGGACGGGGTCGCGAGCAATGTCGTTCCTCCCGATCTCTTCGTATCCCGCCCTTCCTCCTCCCTTTGTCCACATCTCCTGTACCGCCCCTCCGATCTCCTCCTCGATCGCGACGTTGTCGAGTACCGCTTGCGGCGCACCTCGCCTCCACTCCCCGCCACCCACTAGGTCGTCTATCTCTTGCCCATGTCCGAGCGTGTCCGGTTCGTCACTCCCCCACCATGCGTCCCCGCCGATCGTCGCCACTGGTAGTGGTACGTCGCGTGGAGTTAACGTGCCGGGGCGCGGGGGAGGGCGCTGGAAGCAACACGGAGCTCCGTTGGAGGCGTTTTCAAGATTAGCGTGTCAGAGTGAAATGGCACTAGCCTTCACACCCTGCTCTCTAACTACCTTCCAGCACATACACGTGTCAGTCGCCACGCATCCTCTTCTCTGATTCGACTTTTTACTTCAACCCGCCGTCGGCGTCGCGGAAGGGTCGAGGCTGTACGTGCAGACGCACTCCATGCAAAAGAGGCGCTCCGGCGGCCGCGCGAGCACGCGCGCGAACCGCTCGCTCGGCGTCTCAGCGCCGTACCGCCCATAATCGGCAGGGACGGCGCCCGTGGGCGGCGGCGGCTGCGCGGGCGGCGTCACGCCACGCAGCAAGTTGATCGCGGACAAAGACAGCGACGCCTCGCACGCACAGAGCCCCGGCGGCGGCGCGGGAGCCGCCGCCGCCGCCGCGGAAGCCGCCGCCGCCGCCGCGCGACCGGCCTCGTCGGCCGCGCCCTCGTCGGCCGCGCCCTCGTCAGCCGCGCCCTTGTCAGCCGCGCCCTCGACGGCCACGCCCTCAACGGCCGCAAGGATCTGCTCCGCGATCGCGCGGACGACCGGCACGCACACCGCGTTGCCAAGCTGCGTGTACAGCTTGCCGCCCCGCAGGACAAAGCTGTCTGGGAAGCCTACCGCACCACCCACGGGACTGAACCCACACCGGATTCGGCACTCTGGAGGTATGGTAGGACGCCCTGCAGCCGCGCGCACTCGCGCTCCGTGTAGAAGCGAGGCCTGCCCGAGATGACCCGAGATTACCCGAGATTACCCGAGATGACCCGAGATGACCCGAGAGTACCCGAGATGAGACCCGAGATGACCCGAGAGGACCCGAGAGTACCCGAGAGTACCCGAGATGACCCGAGATGACCCGAGATGACCCGAGATGACCCGAGATCACCCGAGATGACCCGAGAGGACTTCGTGTAGAAGCGAGGCCTGCCCGCCCGATCCCACGGGTCCGCGTCGCCCGCGCCGCCGCTCGCCCGCCGCGCCTCCTCCCCGCCCCCGCCTCCGCCTCCGCCGCCCCGTCCGCCCTCGCCCTCCTCGCCCAGCCCGTCGCCGCACCCCTCCTCCTCCTCTGGCTCGCCCGCTGTGGCGGCGGCCGCCTCCGCCACCCCCTCCGCCGCCTCCCCCTCCGCCTCCCCCTCCGCCCCCCCCTCCGCCCCCCCCTCCGCCCCCCCCTCCGCCCCCCCCTCCGCCCCCCCCTCCGCCACCCCCTCCGCCACCCTCGCCGGCGGCACAAACTCGGAGAAGCGACTGTACGACTTTCGGTACGAGCCTACGTGCACCACACCTCCAGAGTCTCGAATCCAGTGTGGGTTCAGCTCCTTGGGTGGTGTGGTAGCAGAGAAGGGAGGTGCGGGGCCTACGCGGCGAAGGCACCAGCCTCGGGGGCAGGAAGACGGTGCTGTGCCGTGTCTAGAGGATGTATACATATATAGTGTCTAGAGGACCGCGTGAATGCGAGGGGGCACGGATACAGTTGAGTGCGCCTCCCCTCGAGAGCCGTGGGTTGGGAAGACAAGAGAGCACGTCTGCCGCTTCTAGGGCGAGAGATATGGTGGAGATGCGGGGAGATATGGGGAGATCTTCCGCGTCCAGGGCGGCGAGATACGGGGAGAGATGTGGAGATACGGGGAGAGAGGGGGGAGATCTTCCGCTTCTAGGAGGTACGAGCCGCGCAGCGTGCGCGCGGCGCCGCCGAGCTGGGCGAGCCGCCACTGCGGGTTGGTGCGCCACTCAAGCGACGATCGGACCTGGGCCGCCGCGAGATTGCTCGAGATTGCTATCTCGCGCGCGAGATTGCCCGAGATGAGGCGTCCGCTCTCGGAGAGGGCGGCCGAGATGCAGAGAGAGAGAGAGGGTGGGAGGGGGAAGAGAGCGAGGTGTGTGCGTGCGTGTGAGGAGAGAGGTGATCGAGAGAGGCGCGAGATGGCCGTGGGAGGCGAGAGAGGGGCTGTGGTGGCGAGATCAGCCGAGTCTTGAAAGACTCAGAGGGCCTGCCGCCACCGCATCTCGCTCAGCTCGTGTAGGAAGGAAGGAAGGAAGGAAGGAAGGAATGAATGAATGAATGAGAACGAATGAACACGAATTAAACTAAAGTACGCGGACCTGTCGCCACTGCGTCTCGCTCAGCTCGTACCGCGACCGCTCCTCGTCCGCGAGCGGCTCGAGCAGCTCGCCCAGGGTTCGGTACTGTGGAGGTAGGGTACCAAGCGGGGTGCCATGGTACCCTACCCCCACAGTACCCGAACCCAAAGCTCGGTGCGCCGCGCCGCGCGCCGCGGGCAGCGACGGCCACCGAAACGCGGCGGCGGCGGCGGCGTCGCGGAAGGCGGCGAGGTAGAGGCGCTCGCGGTGCTGCGGCACGAGCGCGGCGGCGTTGGCGAGCTGCAGGCGGCAGTGGTACCTAGAAAAAGAAAAAAACGTGACGCCGGCCCTAGAAAAGGAACCCGTGTTTTTCTTTTTCAGGCGGCAGTGGTACCCGGCGCGGGCGAGCGCGTGGACGATGATGTGCAGTGCGTGGCCGTTGTCGACGCGGAGAAGATTTGGCACATTCTCAAGCAGCAGCGCCGCCGGCCTGCATCCACAGACACGGGCTCCGCCCCTCAGCCTCCCTCCTCTCTCCTCCCACCGGCCTCCAACAAGACAATCTCTCTCCGGACTCCCTCGAAGGAGCTCGAGGAGGGCCTTGTGTGTGTGCGGAGGTCCTCGTCTGGATCGCCCCCCCTGCCTGACGGTGTGGTGTTGGTGCCGCTCTGACTAGTCGATCTCCACGGCGAGCTACAGCGAGCTCCAATGAGAGTCCCGAGAAGGTGCGCCGTGAAGGTTCCGTACGTGTCTGAAGGTTCACTGTGCTGTCGTGCGATTTCGGGCCCCCGAGGCTGTGCTCTTTGTGTGAAGGTTCCGTGAAGGTGTCCCGAGAAGGTTCCGTGAAAGTTCGCCTAGCGCCGCCGGCCTGCAGCGCGACGCGACGCGCACAATCTCGAAGAAGAGGTCGCCGCGCGCATCGCCCAGCCCGCGCTGCTCGCCGCTCCGCGAGAAGGACTGGCACGGGAAGCCCGCCGTCAGCAAGTCGTGCGCAGGCAGCGCCTCGTCCGGGACCTCCGTGATGTCGCCCAGAGGCGCGTCACCAAAGTTCCGCTCGTACGTCGCGGCGGCGCACGGGTCGATCTCGGACGCAAAGACACAGCGGCCGCCGAGGCCGTCGAGCGCCAGTCGGAAGCCTCCCACGCCGGCGAAGAGCTCGGCGTAGCGGAAGCGCGGCGGCGGAGCCGGCGATGCGGCGGCGGCGGCCGCCGCCGCTGGCGAAGGCGCGGCGGCGGCTGAGACGTGCCGGTGACCAGTGGCCCAGCGCACCGCGCCGTCGCGAAGGAGGGCGGCAAGCGGAGCCGGGACCAACGACTCGGCATCCGAGCCAAACGCGTCGAGCGCCCGTGCGCCCTCCGGCGCGACGGCAACGGCGAGGTGCTCGCAGTCGTACTCGTGCACCTTTGTCCGCTTCTTGCGCCACTGCCGTTCGTCCAGCGCCTTGATCACGGTCTGGAGGTGGCGCTTTGGCGCGACGACAGCACCAACAGCGACTCCGGAGGCTGCTCCAGGCATGCTGCTCTCGCCGCTCCCTCGCACAACACTGGCGCCACTGGGCACTAACACAGGCGAAAAGAATTTTACAACAAAACTCCCGAAAAGAATTTCCGGACGCTCCACACTTACCCGTACGCAAAAGCATGCGCGACTTGCACTCTTTCGTGCCACTCGCTCGCCGGTGCGCGGGGCATGGCCTCCCGCGCGGCTCGCGCTCACTCGGCCTGCCTCCGCCTCACGGCCGGCCCTGGATCGCTGGATGTGAGGTTGATGACTGCACTCCAAGTGCTCCAAGTGCGGCGAGGATGGCGACATTGACGCTGTGGGCGGCACGGCGCAGTTCAATCACCCACACGGCGTCGCCATCAGCCCAGACGGTAGCGCTCTGTTTGTGGCAGACTTCGGCAACGACAAGATCCGGCGGGTGGAGGTGGCGATTGGAGCGGTGACCACGCTCGCGGGCAGTGGTTGGGGTGGCGACGCTGACGGCGTGGGCGTCGCGGCGCAGTTCTACTACCCCCACGGCGTCGCCATCAGCTCCGACGGCGGCGCGTTGTTTGTTTCGGACATGGACAACCACAAGATCCGGCGGGTGGAGGTGGCGACTGGCGCGGTGACCACCGGGCAGTGGCACTGACGGCAGCGCTGATTGCTTGGGCGGCGCGGCGCAGTTCGCCAATCCATGCGGCGTCGCCATCAGCCTGCAGACCTTGCGACGTCACCTCATCGAGTCACCTCATCGAGGTACTGGGCCCGCGTCAGCTTGTTCTGCAGCACGTTCGCCGCCCCCCAGAGGATCTCGCCGACCCCCTTCCCGAACCCACCGAACGACTCGAACAGCAGCAGCTGCACTTCAACGCCCTTGTCTTCCCTGGCGTAGCGATAGTCCCCGCCGTAGGACGGTATGCGGCGGGCCGCCCACCACCCTGCCCCCCCTAGTATGCCATCGACCCGTCCCCTGCCCCCTCTCGCCCTTGCTCTTCCTATCTCCCTCCATGCCCTCGCCCCCGTACCCCTCACACTCCCCTCCCTCCCCCTCCCCCTCCCCCTCGCCTCCCTCTCCCCTCCTCGCAGCCCCACGAGCCACGTGCCCAAATAGGGTTTGTGGAGCGTCCAGAGAAACCTTTGTTACGTAATATCTCGGGACCGCGGACGCCATTCTGAACCAGACTAGATTTGAGAGCAGCACAATTGAAAGATCTAGATCTATTACTAATAAAGCCAGGGGTGGGGAGCTGGCCTTTTCAAATGGTGAAGGGTTAAATGGCTGCATTTTGACCAGAAGCCTTCTGGACACCTTCTGGACACCTTCTGGACCTCTTCTGGACACACCTTCTGGACATCTTCTGGACACCTTCTGGACATTCTGGACGTTCTGTACACCTCCCCTCCCCTTCAGACTCTTACTGAATATGTGATTTTTACATGTCAAGGCGGTGCACAACAACAAACATGCAAAACACTACACCCTCACCCTCCGGGCACGCGCTTGCTGCCCGACACCCGCTCCGCCTCACCGGCTCCATCCTACGAAACGTAAAGATGGGGCGGCGAGTCGAGACGAGGAGGGTGGGAAGCGCGGCCGCTCGAGTAGCGGAGGGCGATGGGCGTGCTCTTCGCCTTGTTGGCCGCCTTTCCGCGCCCGGATGCCGGCGCTCTCCTAGGGCGGCTCGGCCCGAGGCAAGGCGTGTCGTCGTCATCACTGGAGCGGACGGGCGATGCCACGCGGCGAGAGAATTGGGCGCCGGGGAAGATGTCGTCGCCTTTCAAACACGAGCTGCCGTGCGTCAAAAGCGAGCCTGCCCTGATGACCCGCCCCGGCGAGAGCGTGTGCCAGAGGGTGAGGCGTCGGCCGGCAGCGAGCCGGCGCCGGGCACGGTGCCTCCCTTGACGGCGGCTGGCACCACAGACGCTGCGCGAGAACCCCCGGCGCCACCGACCCCGTCAGCCCCGCCAACCCCTCCAACCCGGGCAGCCGCCATTCCGCTGCCAAACCCGGGCTGCTCAGCCCGCTTGCTCGTCACCGGCGAACCGGTTGCGGCGGTGGTGCCGCCGGGGTGATGGCGGCATTCCCGACCGCCAGGACCTGCATCTGCCTCGCGCGCTTGCCTTGCTGGTTTTCATTGCCGGCCCAACCACGACGGCGCCATCAATCGCCGGACGCGACGCGAGAATGTCAGAAGTGGATGGGGTTGAAACCGCGCGCTTGTGGTTCGCGCCAGAATGTCCAGAATGTCCAGAAGGTGCCTTTAGCAAGCTTTAGCAAATGTCCAGAAGGTGCTTTAGCAAGCTTTAGCAAATGTCCAGAATGTCCAGAAGGCCCGCAGGCCTTCATCAGCAAACCACAATGTCTCCTTTTCATAGCCCATGACTGACTGGGTAGCTCACTCGGTGGAGGCGACTGTTTGAGACACGTGTGACCTACGGCTTTACCTGACTGAGTGAGACCTTCTACAACACCTGAGGCCTTCTTCACACCTGCAGAGGACTCTCTAGACGTTCCCACATTCTTTTCCAACCTTCTGGACACCTTCTGGACATCTTCTGGACACCTTCTGGACATCTTCTGGACACCTTCTGGACCTTCTGGACATCTCTGGACGCTCCACAAACCCTATTCCCAGTGTAACGGACAAAAAGAATTTTCGCCTTGCAAGTTCCAAAATCCTGCTCGTGCAGGTGGGGACCCTGTCCTCCTCCCCTATCCCTCGTTTGGGTTGTCTGTTTTCTTTCTTTTTCAGCGGGGACCACGACGCCAACCTCCCCGAGAGCCGAGTTGTCGCTCGCGGCAGAGCGTGGGTGCGTCCACACCGGGTGCGTCAATCGCCGCAAGGGCGCCATCCACTTTCGTATTCACAGCTCCTTCACACTTTATCCGTCACTCCGTTACGCAAAACAGACTCTAGGGCGCCGCCCTCTGGCCCGCGGCCGTGCGCGCCGCCCCCATCTTCAGCTCCACCACCTGGTCGAGCGCGTCGCCGAGCAGCCCCTTGGCCACGCCCAGGTCGCGCAGCTGCTCCACGCCGCCGCTCGCCCGCACCTCGGCGGCGTGGTCGGCCACGTAGCGGCGGCACTGCGCGAGGAGCCGCCCGTCGCCCGTCGCGTGCGCCGCCTCGAGCAGCGGCACGGCGCTCGCCGGCCCGACGCTCTCCTGCAGCGCCTGCGCGCAGAGCAGCTCGAGGCGCGGCACCTGGTACATCTGCGCCAGCTCCCGCAGCACGAGCGCGCGCCGCGCCTGCTCGCCCTCCCCCTCGCCGAGGTCGAGCTGGTCGGTGCAGAGGTAGTCGATGAAGGCGGTGAAGCTGGCGAGGTCCGTCTTGGGCACCGTGATCTCGGCGGCGTCGCGCTCCTTCATGCCGATGCCAAACATCTTCCCATAGTACTCGGACCGCACGCAGAGCAGGCTCTTGCTCACGTGCTCGATGCGGTCCTCGTCATCGCCGACGATGAAGGTGACCTTGCCGTCGGGGAGGGTGGCGTCGCCCCGCATCTTCTTCAGGTCTGCCACGAGGGTCGAGGGCGGCACCACGAGCGGCGCAAAGGAGGGAGGCGGAGGAGGCGCAGCCACGCAGACCTGGCGGAGAGCCCATGTCGTGCAGACCAGAAGAGTGCTGCCATCCGGGCTGACGGCAACAGTGGCTGGGCGCGAGAACCGCGCCGCGCCGCCCACGCCATCAGAGCTGCCCCCAGCACCGCTGCCCGCGACAGTCGTCACCGCGCCCGTCGCCACCTCCACCCGCCGGATCTTGTGGTTGCCGTTGTCCGCCACAAACAGCGCGCTGCCGTCGGGACTGACGGCGACGCCGATTGGGCCGTTGAACTGAGCCGCGTCGCCCACACCATCGGCGCTGCCGTCGGCGCCCCTGCCCGCGACAGTCGTCACTGCGCCCGTCGCCACCTCCACCCGCCGGATCTTGTGGTTCTCGAAGTCTGCCACAAACAACACGCTGCCGTCGGGGCTGACGGCGACGCCGGTTGGGCGGCAGAACTCTGCCGCGCCACCCACGCCATCAGCGCTGCCAGCAGTGCCACTGCCCGCGACAGTCGTCACCGCGCCCGTCGCCACCTCCACGCGCCGCATCTTGTGGTTGCCGTTGTCCGCCACGAACAGCGCGCCGCCGTCGGGGCTGATGGCGATGCCAACTGGGCGATTGAACTGGGCCGCGTCGCCCACGCCATCCGCGTCGCCTTCTCCGCCGCTGCCCGCGAGCGTAGTCACCGCACCAGTCGCCACCTCCACGCGCCGGATCTTGTGGCCGCCGAAGCCCGTCACAAACAACGCGCTACCGTTGGTGCTGAGGGCAATACCGCGGCAATCCTCGCAGGTCGTGACGGTGCGGATGCGCCCGGCCGCCGACACGTGCAGCACCAAGGCACCAGTCGTGGCGTACCAGCCGCCCGCGCGATCGCTTGCGACGGCAAACAGCGGGCCGTCCTCGCCCTCGAGCGCCAGCGTGGTGACCTGGCCGACGACGCGCGCGCCAAAGATGGGCGCCTCGAAGCCACCTGCGACCGGCACAGCCTCGCCCTCCTCCTCGCCTTCGCCGGCGGTGCGGGCGCGCTTGCGGGAGGACATGACGCCCGAACTCGAGTGCAACGAAGGGCGATTCGGTCCTTTGCATGTGCGGTCCTTTTTCTTGTGCTAGAGGAGGTACGGGGCATGGGGAGGGAGCAGCTAGTCCACGAATACCGCCGCCTCTGCATCACCGGTTTCCGGCTGACCACGGGCAGAGGACAGATGGCTGAGGGGCGCATTGGGGCGACGCCGACTCGCGTTATTATGCTTGAGACACTTGCAGGCATCGTACGACGGCGCCACCGGAACGCCCTCCTCGCGCCGGAAGACACGCCGGACGTGCGAGTTGACACGATTTACAACGAGGAGCGCCGAGCCCTAATCCGGACTTACGCCCACACCCGCCGCCGAGCTCTCGACGAGGAGAAGGCGATCCGCCTCCGAATCCCGGGCTGGCAGCCGTCGCCAGGGGAGGGGCCTGTTGCGGAGTGGGAGACGGAGTGGCTCGCCTCAGGTTTCTTTTCCAGCGAAGCTGACTGGTGAGTGCGAGCTCCCCGAGACGCTCGAATCTGTCCGAGGGGTGGCGGCAACGGCTGCGCGGTGAGCACAGTCGCACTCCTCTGTGTAGCGCCTCCGGGTGAAGGGGGGGGCATGCCGGGTCAAGCTGAGACTAATGGTAGAGGCACCAGGGGTCGTTCTTCGCCCACAGCAGCAACTGACAGAACAGGCGCAACGACGCCCGCCCGACTGGGTGGCATACACAGACGGGTCGGAGGACCTAGGGAAAGCAGGATGGGCCTATACAGTACTCATCGGGGGCGACGCCATCGGCGATGAGGGCGCGTCGCTGGCGAGCGAGGGCTACGGGCCAGTTGTCACTTCGGCGGCGCACCCAGCCTACCTCGGCGCGAGAAAGCATACCACAACAACACGGCGGAACTAACCGCCCTGGCCGAGCTCCTCCGTGCTCTCCTGTCCTCGTCACCGCAACGAGCGGGCTCACGCGGAGTAGTGCGGACCGATAGCGAGTACGCGGCGGCGTGCATGATGGGGAGGGTGACCCCCAAAACGAACAGACAGCTAGCGGAACGCCTTCGTTCCCTCTGGCGACGCCTTCGCGCCAAACACACCGTGACGTGGAGGCATGTGGCGGGTCACAGCGGCAACAAATGGAACGACTACGTCGACGAGCTAGCTGCTCGCGGCAGGCAAGGTGACAGAGGCTCAAACGCTACCGAGTGGGCGGACAACACCATCCCGACGGACAATCCCGACGACGGGAGCGACACGGAAGGACCCCCGCCCCCGCCCCTCGGGGCGGGGGCCCCCGCCCCCCCCGGGGGGCCCTTTGGGGCCCCTCCAGGGGGCAACCCCTCCGGGGAGGCCGGCCTTCCCCGTGCCGGTTCTCCCCAACCAACCCCGCCGGCAGCGCGAGCTGCCGGCCACATTGAGCGGTTCGTCCGCGTCGCGCACTCGTCCCAACCGGGGGCCGCTGACTCGTTCTGCGCGCCAACGGCTGGTGACGCTGTGTTGCCCTTGAGCTAGTCCTTCCCCGGTCGCCTAGCCTCTGCGCTGTCTGGCGGACGCCTGTATGCCATGCGCGCGGACCACGCTTGCGTGGATTTGTGGCTGGCAGGCTGACCCGTGTGCGGGGTAACCCGCGCGCGGGGAAGCTTCACGGGTTCGAGTCGTCAAACATTGAGCAGCGGAGGTGTGCCGAGGGGGACCGGGAGGCGGTAAGTCGTCGTCGCCCGGCGCTGCTTGCAGCACCATGGCGAGGGCGCTAAGAGGTTCCTCTTTTCCGCGCCCCCCCCCGCAAGGCGCGCGATACACATGGTGATCCACATCTTCCCTCCGTTGAGCAGCCAGCTCCCGTCCGCCTGCTCACAGCGCTTCTATTCACAGCCCTTCTGCTCACAGCCCCTTGAGACAGCCCCCGCCCGCCTGCGGGCGTGCGCATCCCCAGCACGTCGGTCCCCTCGGCACGTCGGCGGCGGGCAGGTCACAAGGACAGGCCGCGGACAGGGCGTGGAGAGGGAAGGGCGTGGACAGGTAGTGGGTTCCAAAGGCGATCGCTTGAGGGTACATTCACAGCCACAATGCACACAGTGAACGGCGGCCGAACGGAGTCAGGCAGGCAAAGGTGTTCGCCTTGTTCGGAGCAAAGGAGGCGGAGCAGACTCCGTTCGGCCGATTCGTGAACCTCAAGGGATCTGACCTGCGCGGCGCGGAGCTCGAGAAGGCGGTGCTGCAGGAGGGGCATGTCCTCTCAGACCCGCCGGACGTGGCGGGCCTCGAGGGAGCGGCGCTCCGGGACGCGTGGCATGCGTGGTGGGAGAAGGGTGAACAGTTCAAGCCGGCCGAGGAGGGCGCGGAGGAGCGGCGGGCGGCCGACCTCTCTGGCGCCAAGCTGGCGGGCACCAACCTGAGGTTTGCCGACCTACGTGGGGTGAAGCTATGGAACGTAAAGGGGTCAGAGGGCGTCGAGCTGCCGGCGGTGGAGGGGAAGGAGGGGAAGAAGCTGGGCGAGGCGTGGAGGGTGTGGGGCGATGCGCTGCGGAACGAGCCGGGCGAGTCGGTGCGCGTTGCTGGGCTCCTCGCGGCGAATCTGGCCGGCGCAGATATGAGGAGTGCCCAGCTGAGCGGCGCGATTTTAGGCGGGGCGCAGCTGCAGGCGGCAGGGCTCGTCGAGGCGGAGCTGCAGGGGTCAGAACTTGACGGGGCGAAGCTGCAGGGGGCATTTCTCGATCATGCGCAGCTGCAGGGGGCAGATCTCGAGGATGCGCAGCTGCAGGGCGCCAGCCTCGATCATGCGCAGCTGCAGGGGGCAGATCTCGAGGATGCGCAGCTGCAGGGCGCCAGCCTCGAGGACGCCGACTTGCGCGGCGCCGACCTCACAAACGCCGACCTCGCCGGCGTCAACCTGAAGAATGCCGACTTGCGCGGCGCCATCCTCACCCGCGCCAACCTCGAGAAGGCCAACCTCGAGAACGCCGACCTGCGGGGGGCGAAGTTTGATCGCGCCGTCCTCACCGGCGTCAAGCTCATCGGCGCCAAGTTCTCGCCCTTCAAGCCGCCCGAGGCGCGCCCTCCCGCGCTTACGCGGGCGTGGCGGCTGCGGGCGGTCGGCGGGCAGGCCGCGAAGGGGCTCTACGTGGCGCTCGCCGGCGACAGCGACGGCGGCAGCGACGACGACGACAGCAACGGCGAGGAGGAGGAGGAGGAGGAGGAGGGGACATCGACGGACATCGTCGGCGACGCGCTTGAGGCGGGCGTGGCGGCTCTCGTGCAGGCAGCGGCGCCGGCGCTCAAGCTCGTGGAGGAGATCCTCGGCAAGCTCCGCGCTGCGCTGGGCGGCTGCATCGCCATGCTCAAGGCCGCCGGGGAGTGCGACAAGCCGGCGGAGTTCCTCTGCGCCGCCGCCCGCAAGCTCGTGCGCTTGCTCGTGTCGGAGCTGCTGCAGCCACTGCTCGCTGTCTGCAGCGATCCACCCGACTCTTGGGCCTCGCTGCGAGAGAGCGTGCTGCTGAAGCTCGAGCCGCAGCCCAAAGAGCTGCTCGGCAAGCTCGCGGCGTCGATCGCGCCGTCGGTTGAGCCAGAGGCGACTGCCGAGGCCGAGCCGCCGCCGCCGCCGGCGGCGGTGGCGGAGGGGGGCGAGGCCGCGGGCGAGCTCCTCCGAGAGCTCTTGCGCCTGATCGCCGAGGAGGTGACCGCCATGCTGCCGGCACTCGAGGAGTCCGTCGAGGCGGTCGTGTCGAAGACCCTTCAGACGCTGTCACTTCGCGCCAAGGTCCCGGATGTCGAGCTCGGACTCCTGCGCGACTTCACAGCCGTCGCCGACCGCCTCGAGAAGCATCTCGAGACGGTGCTGATCGAGGAGGGGATCGGCAAGCTCGTGTCCAAGTTTCTGCTCGGCCGCTGCGGCGCTCATTATGCTGTTCCTCCCGATAGAGAGCAAGCGCTGTGTCTGACGATGAACGGAAGTCTATCAATAGGCGCTGTCCTCGAGAAGCTGAGCGACGTCGGCTCCGAGCAGCTGAAGCTGGCGGAGCAGATGGAGAAGACGATCGCGGCAAAGGTCGCCGAGGTTGGGGACGCCGCGAACCAGAAGCTGCTCAAGTTCCTCGGCAAGGGCAGCATCAAGAGCCGCGTCGTCAAGTCCGTCCTCAGCGCCGCGACAAAGTACGAGGTCAGCGCTGGCGGCTTCCAAGGGAGCTTCGACATGCTGCGGCTGGCCCTTCGCCGAAGCCCGATCCGGGCCCGCACCCCCGTCTCTTTGCCCCCCCCGCCCCCCCTCCCCCCTCCCCAATCACACATGCCTCCGGTCCGCAGCTCAACATCGACGACAACGAGCTGACGTACCTGCTCGACACGCTCGTGAAGCTCGAGGCGCGTGCTGAGATTCACCACATGTCCACACCAGATTTACTCATCTTCTCAAAGCGTGTGTGAGTCTGCCCTCCTCGCTCCCCTTCCCCTCCTTCGGAACAGGCGCTGGAGGTGAAGAGCGACACCTGGAAGGACGCGGCGACCACCTGGATGTCCATCCTCGAGCTGCGGCCCCAGATCGGCGTCGAGCGCGGCATCGCCGTCATCGACTGCATCGCGAGCGACCAGAAGGTTCGTTCCACTACTCCCCTTCTGGTCAGTCTGTGTCAGGCTGGTGACTCTGTTGCCATATTCCGCTCGCTAGGTGCTCGACGCGCTCGGCGCCGCCAAGGCGCTCTTCGACATCGAGGGCGACGCGCCGGCCGACATCTTGGCGCGCGCCGCTAGAAGACACGGACACGCCCTCTCTCTTTGCGACCGCAATAGGGACTGAGTTGAGACCGGATTGCCTATAGTACACGCCCTCTAGACAGCCCCGCGCGACAGCGTCCCTCCCCCTCCGCCTCGCACGCAGGCGCGGCTCAGCAAGGACACCGGCGGCCACATCCGCGCCAACGGCTACCGCTACCGCAAAAAGATCAACCTCGAGCTCGCGCGGATCCGCCGCGTGCGCGACCTGCAGATGCGCGGCGTGGCGCTCGTCGGGACGGCGATTGCGGCTGCGCTCATCTCGACCTTCAACTACCTCTACTCCGTCGCCGACGGCGTGGAGCCGTGGTGGCTGCCGCCGGCCGTCGTGCTCGGCGTCCTCTGCATCCTCCTTCCCGCCGCCGCGATCCTCGTCTACCTCTACCTCCTGAACAAGCGCAAGCCCGCGCGGGGCTCGAGGCTGGGCGGCGGGCTCGGGCACGGCGCCTGAGCTTCCTCCACCGACCCCGGGAGGAGGGCCGCGCCTGGCCCTTAGTTCCCTCTCTGCCGCCGCCGCGGCCTGTGCAAGCCTAGCCTGAGGGCTCGAGGCCGTGGGCGGCGGGCGCAGGCGCTACGGACCTGAACGCGCGGGAAACGGGGATGTGACGCACTCTAGCGCACATAGTCTATAGGCTCTGGGCATAGTCCGCCGCAGTACGTGTTTCTCGCGGCAATCTACTCGTTGATGCCTCTTGTGTACATGAGCGAACGATACTACGTGTTGATTCATGGTGTTCAACAGTGTTGTCACCGCACACCGGCCATCGCCGCCACGGGCGTCAGGCACCCGAGACCACCGTCCTCTGCCTCCCGCCGCCCCAGAGGCGTGATCGCCAGCGTGACTGTACAGAGGCGCGATCGTCGATGTAGTTGCTTTGGGGGTGCTTATGCGTTTCTCGCCAAAATGGTAAAGTTAGGCTGTTCCCGTGGTGTACCTGTGTTAGTGCCAGTGCGCGCCAGTCCCGTGCCTAGTGTCGTGCGAGGGAGTTTGTTTTTGTAAAATTCTATTAAGAGCCGCGGTCGCAAAGGGGAGCTATTTCTTCTGAGGCGCAGCCGTCGCCCACGAAACAAACACGGGGAACCTCCCTCTCTGTCAGAGTTCGCTCCCACTCAAGGAGTCGGCATCCAAGCAGCACTGGAGGCGGATCGGCGCGCGTAGCGCGAAGGAGGCGCGGTCCTACTTCGCTACGACGCTGCGGCGGGCGTGGGGCGTGCACTTTGCGCGCGAGTTCGCTCGGCACCGCATCCGACGCGTGGTGTTCGTGGGGGCCCCGCGGCGACAGCCGGGCAGGCCTCTCGCGACGGCCGATGGCGACTGGCCGGCGCTGTCGGCGGGCGAGTTTGCGGCGCACGCGCTGCGCGTAGGCGGCGCGTGGGCGGGTGGCCCGCCCGGCCGTCGGTGAGCACCGGACGCGAGGGTCGGTCGGCTCCTAACTCGCTGCATATAGTAGCGATGAGCTCACTGGCTAGAGCTCACCCTAGAGGCCGTCATCGCATTCGCCCTGGGACCCAGCGCTGACTTCTGACTGTCGTTGCTGTCTATCCCTTTCTCGACTGTCTGAGTTTGTGCGTCTTGGTGCCGGGGTTGTGTTTTTGTGTGAAGAACAGCCTTCCTACCTAACCTAACCTAACAGCTGCCCTACCCCGCCGCCGCTCACTCTTACAGACCTTCGCCCTTTGACACGGCGGCGGCGGGCGTGCTCCAGCGCGTGCGCCGGCCAGCGCGCGCTCGCCGGTCGAAGAAGAGGATGAGGGCGTACCGCGTGCCTCCCGTCATCGCGCTCACGGCGTGCAGCAGCCGGCAGGAGTGCACGGTGGCGTCGCCCTCGGCCCACAGCAGTGGCTGCACCGCCCCGCCGAACACGCCGAGCAGGCGGCCTGTGGTGGTGGTGGTGTGAGGGGAGGGGAGTGTGCGTGGCTGACCCGCCGCCCTCGCCCGGCCGCCTCACCGCGCACGGAGCGATCGGCTGCTCGCCGCCGCCGCCGCGCGTCCCGCGCCGCCACGCTTGCCCCCTTGCCGGACGCGCGCTCTGTGCAGCGGCGCAGAGCGCGCGTCCCTGGCACAGACGGAGCAGCGACCGCGCCAGCGGTCGCTGCTCCGCCCCCCCGTCGCGCGCGCCGCGCGCGCGCTGCCGCCGCCGCCGCCGCCGCCCCCTCCTCGCCGTCTTCCCCACCCCTACCCTCTGTTGCCCGCACGCGCGCGCCGCGCGCTGCGCGCCCCCGCCCCCGCCCCCGCCCCCGCTCCCAAGCGCCCCCCTTCCCCGGTGGGTGGTAGAAAGTGAAACCGATCGAGAGGTGGCAGAAGCCGCCGTGTGTGACACATATTGCGGCACGTGTGACGTGAGTGTGTGAGACATATACATTGGGGTTTGCGGGGAGAGCCCCGGGCCCGGCGCGCGCGCGGGGCGTTTTTTATGCAAACATGCAAACGGGACGGCCTGCGCAGCCTCTAACTATTGTTGCCGAGGAGAAAGATGTTTTTCAGCACCCTGCTGATGACCCGGGCTTTTTGAGCGACGCCTGCGGCACGCCTGCGCAGGGGCCGCAGGGCGGTCAGTTGTGGGGCGAGGCGGTGCCGGCCGCGGGCCGGGTGCAAGGCGCCGGCCTCGGCGCCGCCTCGGCGCGCCGCACGGGAGCCGAAGGTTTGCCTGTGGGAGGGAGGGAGTTGGGAGTTGGTGGTGGGGGTGATTTGACTTTGCAGCAGAGGCCGTCCCTAGCTGTGAACAGCGCGATTCACAATGCGGTGAGCGGGCGGGAAGGGCTCAGGCTGGAGATGTGAGTCAGAGTGGGGCCGCCGGAGCGCCGGTTCTCGCCTATACCGGCTAGTGTGGAGCTCTGACTTGCTCAGTGTGGTGGCGTGTTGTACTAGTAAAGCTGCACCGCATGTTCGCCCGTCTAGGACCTCTTCGTACGACTCCGAAAACCGCTGTGTGGAGCTCTGACTTGCTCAGTGTGGTGGCGTGTTGTACTAGTAAAGCTGCACCGCATGTTCGCCCGTCTAGGACCTCTTCGTACGACTCCGAAAACCGCTCCTCTTAATGACGATTACGCGGCCCGGCGCCCCGAGCAGAGAGGGCTGGATTCGGGTCAAGGGCTTGTGGTAGCGACTAGCGTTGCCGTTGTGCCGCGTGCGTGTGACTCGCTCACGCCATGCTGCGTGTTCTAGGGTACCATACTTGACCCCCCCCCTTGGCGCCTCGTCTTTTCCTACCAAACAGCGCGATCTGGGGCGGGGCGTCAAGCGTATGGGGTGGGGCTACATGCGCTCGCGGGGCTGCCCGACGGGGCGGGCCTCGTGCTGATGGACCCAGCCGAGGTGCCCGATCAGTCGGAGCCGCGCCGACGCGCCGCGCACGACCACCAGCCAGCTTTTCAGCGGGGTCGAGGACGGTGCGTCGAAAGAGTAGACACTCTCCGGTCCATCCGGAATTTTGTCGTTTTAGTTAGCACTGCTGCTGCAGACAGGGCCCGCGTGACCCCATGCCCTTCCCATATCTCGTGTCCTGAGGCTTGGCGCCACCCCGGTGACCGCCCACAGGTGGCCGATCGCGGCCGCGGCGGGCGTGCCGCTCGAGCAGGCCAGGCTGAAGCCACCTCAGGACCCCACCTCGAGTCGGTGGCGCCACCCGCGACGCTGCCCGCCTTCGCCGCGCCAGCCGCCGGCTCGCTGCAGCCGCAGCGCGCGGTGCCCGAACACCGGCGCGCCCGTCGGCTCGCCTTCTTGCGCCGCCCCTTCACGCAAAGCCCGCTCACGCCGCGCGTACTCAGCTATCGGCGCGACATCACCCCCGCGCAGGCACCTCGCGACGGGTCGACGCACTCGTGCGGCTCAACGCAGAACTACGGAGCGACCTCCGCCGCGGCTCGGCGCTGCCCATGGCAGCAACAGGTGCCGCCCCACCACCCGCCTGCTGCCTCTGCCTCTCTCAGCCATGCGACCCCTCCGCCAATTTGCACACCTCGAACACGACGTCAGATCCCGCTGTGACTGGCAACATTCGCGGCGATGAGAGGCCTCCTCCAGCACTGGTCGTCACAACTCGTCTGTTAAGCTACACCTTTTTGCCCTCTGCAGGTGAGCGGACCGCTGCAGCCGCGGTGGAGCCGCGGGTCGGGTGAGGGAATGACCTTTTGGCGCGGCGCTGCTATGTGCCTGCGCGCTCATGGCGCCTTCAGGGGTGCGCCTGAGGCGTGTAGACTGCGGGGCGCCGCGATAGCGCGGCGCCGACGGTTGTGTCGCGCACTGTCACACCCACGACACGGTCACAGTGTGTGTGCAGTGCGTCCACTCCGGCGACCGTGACGCCGTCGGCGCTCGTCAAAAACACATCTACTGTGGAGCTCTAAGTGTGGTTGCGTGTTGTACTAGTGGTGCTGCACTGTGACGGAGGAGGCCGTCCGCAGAGCGCGGTTGCCGCGCCCTCGGCGCACGTGCGGTGCACACACGTACCCGGCCTACCCGGCCGCTAATTTCCATGCGCGAGACGGCCAGATCTATAACTGTATCACCGCAGCGAGTAGATTTTGGTGAGATCAAACCGTATCTTTTTCACGGCACATCCGCTCCCCCCTCCCCGCACGTGATGCCTCCATGCGCCCGTCAAGTCGAAATCGATATGCAGCATGCTCGATGGTTTGCCCGAAAAGGTACAAAGCGGCGTTTGGCGACAAAACACAGCGCTGCGACTTCGGAAGTGGCGCGGTGGACATGCTCCCACGGCGCCGAAGCGGCGCCGGAGTGGCCGGCGCTGCTCGCCACGACCACGACGGCTACTCTGATGCTCCGGGCCGACCCGTCCTACCCGACGGTGGCACTCTTCCGACGTGCGAGCTCAGAAACATTCTGAAACGGCGTGCAGCAGAGTCACCGACGAGGTCGGTCCGCGTGACTCCTCGCGTCCCGTACCGTTCTCACACATCCATAAACTCACTTTGGCCTCACTGAAGCGATGCCTGAATCCTGAATCCTCAGATTTTAGATTAGGACGCTGCGCAACCTCTACTGATCTCTACTGATCTACTGAGCCTAGAGAGGTAGAGTACGCGAACTGCTGGCACCGCTCCCTCCACCGGGCACCGCTCCTGCGCCAGGCTGCAACAGCCCTCTCTCCCCCCTCTGAGCAGCAGCTGCATCGCTCCCCCGTCATGCCCCCCCCCCCTCC